GTCGATGATGACAGTAGTAGCTCGAATCGCGTACGATGCTGACGCTGCGACCTGTACAGAGGTGCAGTTAAGGCATCAACCACTGGTGTGCTGGCGTGGTCTCGTCAGCGTGTGCCGGTGCGTTGGCACGTTCGTATAAGACTGAAGAACGTTTCGGCCACAAGGCATTCCAGTGAGTGCTGAGTCGGACGAATGCGTCAAAGACATAAGTTCACTGTCATCCAGACACAAAAATTTGGATAGAGTGCAGTGTCGAAAGTGTGAAAATTCATCGCCGTATTTACAGTGGCATGTTGAACGCATGAAAGTAACTCACGAATGATAGTTTCGTCGGTAGTAGGCGGAAGAATGTCTCGGACAAAAGATGACAACACATTCGAAGGTCTGGTCTGCACAATTTGATTGAGGTTTGGCCTGGACTTGTACAGCCGAGGTTTGTTCGTAACATCCATTTCGAAACACGACAGGGTGTCGGCAACTGTGTTTTCCTATCTGTGGGCACGGTGAATGACACAGGAAAAACTGCTGGGTGAAGTCAAAGTGGAATTTTGTGGCGGTCGAGTTCAACCACGTCTGGAGGTTTCGTTTGGATCATGTGGGGGTCATAAATTTATCGTGGTTATGCGGTGCGTGTGCAGTCTGAGCGCTGCCATCATCAGGGCGAATCCTAGTGTTGGAAGGAGATGACGGAGGGCACCAGAATGAGAGGTTTATTGTGAACAGAACCTGGATTTGTCCTCTCAGGCGGCAGTGGCCACTGGCGAGGCCAGGGCTGGTGTTGACTACGTCCAGTCATGCCCGAGAGTCCCTTGGACACTAGTGGCAGCCGCTCAGGTGGTGTCCAGCCAGTGGGTGCTGCAGTTGCCGAGGTGTGGTGCCCCAGTGGCTCACTGTAAAAGTCTGGATGACCTTGAGTCAGTGAAGTCTTGAACATTGACGCCAGACCGGTCATGATGGCTGCCCGCTACAATTCTAAAGCCTTAGTGTGTCTGAGTCTCTTCTCATTCCTAAGGTTGTGTTCTCTTCTGATCCGCCAATTGCCGCGATATCGAGGACATTGCTCACCGGACTTGAAGTCAGGAGTTCACCTGGCAGACAATATTTTACGTGAGACGAAGAAGGCAAGTGCTACGACTGATCGCATTCAGGCATCAAGTAGATAATTTAATCTACCTTTGTGGGTAAAAATTACTTAAGAATCTTAATCCGTTCTGTGTTGTGTTCCTTTCCTCTTTTACATGTACGACTTTCGTCGACCATTGTTCAATGCGGTCGATTTGCATAGTTGGTTGAGCATGAAAACAAATGCGCTTATTGAGCGCATTCGCCCCTTACTGACATGACCCACTTAGCCTGCTTAATATTGTACCAGGAAACTCTCCGGAGGCCAGTCGGTTCGGCCTTCAATAAACGGATTTGCTCACATTTGTCCTATTTTAAACCAAGTGAACTAAGAAACACTTGCATCCAACTAACGTTCCCACGGAAACAGGCTTAAACATTAAAACTGTTTGGCAGGAACATCTTATGAGATAACGTAATTTTCTTCGTTTCCTGAAACGCATGAAGTCTTTTCACTTTCAGTCTAATGTTGGAAAATTTATTTGAAGTTCGCGCTCAGTTGATTAGGCCACATAAAAGAACCTGTTTGCTACCATCTCAAAAGTTCGCAAAGAGGTAGCTGTGCGGAGACATGTAATATGATTAGTAAAATTGCGTTTAGACTGGTGATTCCCGGCTTGTTTTCCCTCGCCCGCCAACTATGGTCCAAAAGTGCATTTCATGACCTAACAGATGGAAAGTCGCGAAATTCGCGCAATACCCACATAGTAAAGTGGCCGCAAATTCTGCATCTACGGAAGTCTCTTCCTGGTTGAATGGAATGACCGCTCTTCAAATGAAGCCAGAGCTTAGTTAATAAGCTATTATTTATTATCCGGGGAGCAGTTTATTTTATCGGGAACCATCAGTTTCAGAAAACCAACTTTATGACAAATTTAAAATTTAAGATTTTATATAACGAACGACAGGGAAAGGGTGCAACACAAGGAGAAAATAATGGAAAACAGTGACAATTTTAAAGAGTAAGAGTATGGTAAATATTTAGGTCCTCACTGCTGTAAAATTCTGGATTTTCTGAGTAAATTTTGGATATTCGACATTGAAAAATGACTTTTCGGTTTGCTGCATAATTATAACGGGGCGTGACTAACTCATTTAGAGGTAAGGGTACGGTTTACGCCCGGGGTCACTTAATTCGGGGAGCAATTGTGCTAAAAGTAAACGGCTGACGATATCTATTTGCGGACATCAGAGAAAGGAATGAAAAGACCTCACGGTGGCTGCTGTGTTTGGTTGGTTAAGAAACTTTAAGGTATTCATCAGAGTAAAAATACGAAACTGCAATGCCTTTGTGACAATGCCTCCCAATGGGCACTAAATTTATTTATCACTATAATTACACGGTGAGAATCGTGTCCTCTTTTGATTGGTGACAGTCTGGAGAATCAAAATTTGTGATACCACAAAGTTCTTGGATGTTCGGCTCTTTTCCTCAGCACAATTGCTCCCCGGACTAAACGAGCCCGGGCGTAAACCATACCCTTGTCGTGTAAAAGTATTAGCGCTTTGTTGGTTGTCCTTTTCCAAACATAGATACCACTTAGTTGTCTATGCTGAACTAGTCTGTACAATTAGTAAGCAGGAAACCCAGCTTTCACTGCACTGAAAAGTGCTTTTTTGCCGTGCCCTAATTTTAGTTAATTTGTACAAAGGGATTTTTGATGGGAAGTTTGAACTGTTGACACGAATTAAAATGCTTCACAGACCGTTGGCGGAGACGCTGGCTGTGGTCTTAAAAGTATATTATAACGGTGAACTATACGAGAATTATACTGGCTTTGGGTCTTGAACATAAGCGTTATCGTGCGGCATTATGGTGTCCATTCGTCATCGCAACCAAAGGCACTTTTTTCGATGTCCATGAAAACCTTGTTTTTGTGGCTTAAGCTGTGTCATTTCATGAGTTTTGTCACTTAATAAGGCCCATACAACTGAAACGACACGATCATGGCTTAGTAGAGAGACTCTGAATAAGAACTCCAAATTTGAACCGCAGATCATTGGGACATAGTCTTACGCAATGGCCGACTTGCGGGTGTTAATAGGCCAAGATTGGCCGTCGGAGTCGCCTTCGCTTTTGTTGGTATTCCATGTATCTAAAACTATTTGGCCAAACACAGATCTATGTACCCCGGTCCCTGAACCGTGGCGTAAGGCAGCATAGGTAATAGGTAGTAAGAGTCTTTTAAGAGAAACAGCGTGGTATTCTTAAATACATAAAAAGAAATCATTTTTAGGGTTTAGGAGATACCATACAAATAGCACAGGTATTAGCCAAAATCCCATACACGTGTGTTTCGCCGATATGCTGCCGCTGAACGACACAGCTGTGAGGGGTTTGGCTCACTAGTAGGTCCCACAGCATTCCCCGTCTGCCTTCTGATAGATACTCCAATTTAGAATTTGCTGCTTTTTAATTTGCTCAGAAATCACATTGTTTTCATAGTTTATGCCCAAATAAAGTGTATATTTAGGTTTTAAAAAAAGTTTCCAATTGTGGGATTTTTAAGACTGTGCGATGTCCATGCATACAGGACCGCACATGTCCGTTTACCACTGCTGCTCATGAAATGTGCAACACAGACAGGATCCATTGCGGAATTTTATGAACTCTATGTGGTATCTTCTTAAAGGCATAGGGGAATATATGATTTTCCTTACGCGGAAGACATGCACCTTGTCGACTGAAATCGCTGAACACTGATGCAATGGCAGATCAGACTCACAAATATTCGGGGATTGGGAAACTTTTTTAAAACCTAAATATACACTTTCTTTGGGTATAAACCATAAAAGCAATGTGATTTCCTGCGAAATGAGCGAACGAAAACATCAAATATTCATAGGAGAAATGCATGCTAATTAAGTAGTCATTTTTTACCGAGTAAGGTTTCTGCAGGAGGTCAAGAAGGAGTGCATCCAAAAGCCGACATCCTGGCGAATCAGAAATGCTATAGGATCATGCGCCTACTTATCATTATTACAACCCCACCTAAGTAAACCTTCCTGATCGAAAACGAATTTCAGAATTTCGGCCAACATTTCATGAAATAGGTCAAGCACTGTACTTTGTGGTTAAGCATGGGCCTTTGGCTAATACCTGTGCTGTTACTATGGCATCCCTTAATCCCAAAGTATGCTACTGGCTGTCTTTTGCTAGTCAATAAATATGACGCGGTCCATGACTTCGGTCCAGACATTCATACATAAAACAAAAAATTTCGGTCTGAGCCAATGGAGCTAGAATACACTGATCTACTTCAAGTTCGCAGTTAATTTCTGCGGAAATTAAAAAGCAACAGAAAGAAATCAATCAATTTACGCAGCATGCCTGTGTTAATGCATTAAAAGACACTTTGGTTGATGTCGGTCCACGGAGGTTTTCTTATTCATGCTTCATCATCTATTATCTTACAAAAAAAAACATTTGAAAAAGGTAATTTCTGTAATTCAGCCGTGTTCTGGTCTTCTAGTCCATAAAGGTTACGTTTGCTGTCCTCTCACGGGACAGTTAGTTTATTAAATTTCGTGTGGCTCTGACACTGTTTGCACACGTTGTTTCGATGGTTTGGTTAGTATCTTTCACGAATGTCGTCTTTTCATCGCGCACACGATGACGTTTCTGCCGGTAGGACTTACCGCTTACAGTTCTGACGGAGATCTGACCGAAAGGGTACTTCATATATTGAAGTCGCTAATCTTTTATCCGTATGGAATTCACTTCTTGTTTGGGATGTTATTTCCGAACTTCTTTTCGAAGCCAGGATTTGTAGTGTTCTTGCCGAAGCAAAAACGCCAACATCTCCACTTAATTATGCTATACGGATGATCATATATTCTATTCCATGAAGTTATTTATACTGCAGTGTTTGCCGCTCATGACTTGTTTGCAGAAGGGAGCTCTCTTCTTCGGCGAGAAGATTCGCTTATGGGTCAATGCAAAATATCAGCCGAAAGTAAACGAGGCAGTCGATTCAGGCACTATTTATCTTACGACTCTTCTAACCTGTTACATCTCCGTACCTGAAAACGAGAGTGGGAGTTTCAAGGGTCCGGTGAACTTCCTAAAAGCGAGCGCCGTTAAAATACCTGCTTTGGGCGGTGAGTTCACGAAAACCATCAATATAACTTTCCCATGTCTAGTGCTCTTATTCATCCATCTTCTAGGGTCATAGCATTCGTAGAGCTATTATGCTAATGCTGGTCATTTGATTGATTAGGAAAGCAAATCTTTTGATGAACTCCGCCTCTGTATGGAGCATTCACCAATGACGTTCCGTGTCAGACAGATGCGACTTCTGCCCTTCTATCCTGACTGTAAGGAATTTAGGAATCGCCTTTTGACTGGGAGCCGCAGCATAGATCCCGACAGTCGAGAAGGCTTGAGCCCGAGACGTTAGCCTTAGTTCTTTCCTAGAGATCAAGAAAATCAAAGTTTGAGGTGCGAGACTTCCAGGCCTGCCGCAGGATTTCGGTTGACTAATAATGGCAAAGGCGTAATTCCTGCATTCTCGGTCTTTGTTTATCATAAATCTCGATGAGTTTTTATTGCCTAACAGCCGAATGAGCACGCAAGTGATCATAAAAGTTCATCAGAGTTCCCATGTACGAACTTTTTTAATACATTCTACTACAACCGCCATGGCCTGTTTATCCGGTGAATTCTGACTGTTGTTAGCGGTCATTCTCACCCCCCCTACAGAGATCGTTTCGCCTTCTTTAATGATTTGTCTAAACCTCGGAGAAAGTTAACAACTTGGATGATTTCACACGCTGCCCGGCAGCTGTGAAGCCACCACTTTATGACAAAATTTCCGCAATATTGCATGAGTCAGCCCCATTTTCTGCAGGAGAGAGGGAAGAGTGAGTAATTTTTGTACGATCAAGGTTTATCCACTAATTGGCTTGGTATTATGTAAAGTGATATGGATGGCCAAAATATACCAGGCGATTCATATGTTTCCGTCTTTATATATTGAGCAGGTCTATTTCACTTGTTAACATGTATGATCACTTGATATACTGACTTAATTCCCTGATTAGCGTTCTTTGTATCTTATTAGTATTCATTGTTGCATGGTTTAATTTGTAGATACATACATAAGTATTCATTATTGCGATATGACAGATGTACTGGTAGTAGTTAATTTCCGAATGCCAATAGTGTTAATAGGTAGCCCCGTCGTAGTTCACCAGAGGGGTGTCAACGCCTGGTAAAGTTCCTAACTTGAGTACCATCAGGACCACGGTCCCATACTAGAAACATAAGTTTGAAGCAACTGGAAACCCATCCATTAAGCAGCGAACAAGAAGACCGTCTGCTAAAAGCACAAAAGAAAGTGTAGTCAATTTCGTAGAGATGGCACAAACTAACGAGAAACTTCACGAGCGTGTGTGACTACAATGTTCTGCTTACAAATATCGCAAGAAATTAAAATAAAAACTTTTAAATATGTCTTCAATTAAACAGTGGCAGAAGATGTTGTGTTTTAGTCCTCAGAGACGGAGACTTATGAATCACACGATAGTTGTCCTGCGATTGAAAAGTCAGTCGGCGAACGTACGTTTTCGGCAACTCATCAGCCGGCTACTACAATTACATGGATAATGAACTTGTCAGCTATGGAGAGTATTTATATGTGTGGACCAATGGAGGTGGTGGCATGCCTAAGTGCGTGCCTGGCCGTGCCAGCCACCTGCGCCCTCTCCCACCTCCGGTCTTCTTGGCTATATCTTGACATCGGGCCCAGGTGGGAAGGTGGAGGGTGCGGTAGATGTTGCGCAAGTCTACTCTCATTAATAAATTACTTCACACGAAAGTCACCGTGCCTGCTCCACCCTGCTGTGCAGCACATGGTGGACATCGTCGGCAACAACAGTTGAGCTGTCATGTGTCTCTTGGGACAAAGCTAATCCCACTAGTTCTTCTCACGCCGTTAGCATGACGGAGTCAGCGTGCTGAGGACGTTGGGACTGGGGAGAGAGGGGGACGGGGACGTTGTCTGTAGGTCAAACACGCAGATTGCGTGTGACTGTTCTCGGGACGCTGGGGCGGCGTGCGATCAGCGCCTCGAGTCGGCCAGGGAAAACAAACTGCCTTCACCAGTGTCTTTTGACAACGGAGGGCTGGGATCGCTAACCGAGTAGCTACTGCCTCGGCTGTTGCTGTTGTAAGTTCGCTCTGCGTGCTAACGTGTCTCCTTAACTGAACTGTGAATGTGACGCAATGCAAACGTTCCTTTGAGCTCGCGTTGGGGTGGTCATCATCACCGGTGAGTAGCACTTTAGGCTCCCACAGCGGGCTACGCTGTAAATCAGCTGGACAAAAATCGGGGTCAGACTGGCTCCTGGCATGCGTTCATCGGGCTGCACCGAGTCCGCACGAGGCCCTAGTTACTGTTTTATGTTCGGTTGGTGGCACGCCAGAGGATGTAAGCCTTCACACCGCATCAGCTATTGCGTCTGTTGGCTGCTAGGTTCGGACAGTCGACTGGTGTATGGGGGAGGGAGATTACGGCTTGTTCGACAACTGGGAGTCAGCTCATTAGGCACATCAACCCATTTTTCGACATAATAAGTCCGGCGCGCGTTACTGTATCACTGCACACTGAAAATCGTGTCCCGGAAGGCTGTCAGCTGATTCAGGTCTGAGAGTCCGCCTGCGGTGGTCCCTTTTAATGCAGGGTTTCGGTAACGATCGGATGAAGGAGCCCAAACACACAGGACCAGCCAAAAGTGCTTGTCTTACGGGAAAGGTGGTAAGGGGGGGGGGTTTAACAGGCAAGGCCTGTGTATGCATAGAGGAATGTCAAAATAAGTTAAAATAATTGGATGTCTGATACAGTCTGGGGGGGAGGGGGGCTGGTCGAGTCCGCCAGGCAAAGCGGGGCTGTTTCGCTCCCCCAGCCACTGCCCCGCGCTCACCTTCGGTTGTCGCCTTGACATTGTCTTGTCGTCGAAACAATGTGGTTAGGGTGGGTGAGTATGGTAGATGTTGCACATGTCTGTCTCACTATGTGCAAATTGACGCGAATGTCACCACTGCTGTGCCCACGCTGTGTGGCACACGGTGTACATCGTTATCTGCGGTGGGCGAACTGCCGTGCCGAACAGCAATCAAAAAATCGATTGGCTCCCAAAATCGCCCAAGGTTAATCTGGCTTTCGCCGTCTGTGAATGCCTAAAGAAACAAACCTAACCGACTTTGCGTGCGAATAAAATTTGGCTTTACCTGCATTGCGCTTTTGACAGCGGGGAGCTTGGACGAAATCTAAAAGAGATTGAAAATAGTGGTGGATAACAACAGTAAGTGACTGATCTCATGATATGTTGGCCGAAATTCTGAAATGCGTTTTGGATTTGGAAGGATTACGTAGGTGGGGTTTTAGTATGGATTAACATGCGGCATAACCCAGTAATATTTCGGACTCGCCAGGATATCGGCTTTTGAATGCACTTCTTTTCAATCTCCTGCAAAACCCAAACTTGGTAAAAAATGACTACTTACTTAGCATGCATTTTTTGCATTTATTTTCGATGGTCTTATAAATTTAAAGAAAACATTTACAAAAATATGCTTTCTTTTACTCATTTGGTAGCAAATCACGTCCACTTTATATTTTATGCTTTAAAACAGGGTTTATTTGGGTTTTAAAGAAATTTTTAATTACATGATTGTTAAGACCGTGCAATGTACATCCATACAGCATCGTACCTGTCTGTTTACCATTGCTCCTCATGAAATGTACAACATAGTCCGTACCCATTGCAAAATTTCATGAAAACTAAATGGTATCTTTTCAAAGGCATAGAGGAATAAATTATTTTCCTTACACGGAAAGCATGCGCCTTGTAGAATGAAACCATTTAACGCTAATGCAACGGCTGATCTGTTTTAAAATTATTCGGGAATTGAAAAACTCTTTTAAAACCCAAATATACCCTGTTTTCAATCACCAAAATGTAAAGTAAATGTGAGTTGCCACCGAATGAGTAGAAGAAAGCATATTTTGTGAAGGTTTTCTATAAAATATATCTGACTTTATAAGACCATCGAAAATCAATGCAAAAAATGGATGATAAATAAGTAGTCATTTTTTTACCAAGTTTGGGTTTTGTCGGAGATTGAGACGAAGTGCGTTCAAAAGCCGATATCCTGGCAAGTCCGAAAAATTACTGGGTTATGCCGCATGTTAATCAGTACAACAACCCCACCTACGTTATCTTTTCAAATCGAAAACGCATTTCAGAATTTCGGCCAACATTTCATGAGATCGCTCACTAACTGTATGTCTTTTGCTCGGGAAATTTGTCGTAAGATAAAAGCCGAAAAGCGAAATGAACTGTACTAGATGAGGAATGTGTTGGAAACAGCGACGTACAACAAACGGAGCAACAGATTGACCGAGCCCCCTGAATAGGTCACTCTTAAGCTAATCTTCTCCTATGAAAAAGAGTTCATTTTCAGTTTTTCAAATGCTTAGAACTATTACTGACATGATCTGCGAAAAGGACCTCATGTCCACGGTAGTCGATTGTGCAGAGATTGCAGCATGCTGGTCTAGGAGTCTTTTTTTTATGTTAGAAGTTAGAATTGATGTTTTTGTAGGCCTGCGGAATTCCTATACACGCATTCGGGCACTTTCTGCTGAAAGTATTGTCCTTCTTAAATTGGTTCGACGGTGCACGTTCGGTGTTTTAATAAGGCAGTTGTAGTGCATATACCACCTAATAAACGAAACTGTGGTTAAGATTTAGTTGAAGCGGAATAAGGACCTGACCCGATCACAATGTAATTGAGAGGCTGTGGGCATTTCTAGCTGGACGTACATACGTAAACAAATAGCCGGGTATTTGTGAGACAGCCATTTTCTGACTTTTCTTCTTTCTTGGCATTGTATTAATTTGTTTTGTGATAAAAGTCATGTTTGCGCTAAAATTAGTCACTGTTAGTCTTTTATGCGAATAGCCGGATCGATTTATACAAAACTTCCGAAAGCTCAGCAAAAGTAAGTGGCTCTATAATGATAGGGTTCAACCCCGACTTTACTGTTAAAAACCAAGTTATGTACAGTCAACTCCATCCCATTAGTTAACAGATGCCCGCAATTGCAAGTATGCATCATCATGCTTAGTAGGGAGAAGGTGATATTGTCAAGGTCCCCACTACAACAGTCGCATTCAAATTGATGCCGGACCTGGCACATCCGATTCCGATGGATAAACTTCGAGGTGATCAGAAATTTTAGACGAAATTGTAGTATGTATTCATAAAATTGATTTTTGCCATAAACTTCATTACTAACGCTGTGGGACTCACTGATGAATGGGCGCCTCGCTGTTGCATCCGACAGCCGCATACCGATTAGCGAAACATATGGCAAGGTTTTTCGATTGTTTTTGTGTCGCGAACCCGGGAAAGTTAAATCTCTCTTACAAATTTAATATTATCCAGGTCCCGAAATCCGAAATGTCGAGCCTTCCTTACACCGTAAAGCCTCATCGACTTCCCATCAGCATTCCTGCATCATGTTGGGAACTTAAGGCCATTGTATATGTCAGAGAAAGACCAAGGACCCAATGAACGATCATTCCTCTCGACGTTTGTGTTTATCGTCCGGTCTGTCATTCATTTGAAAAGAAACTCGCGTGATTTTGTGCTCAGTCATGAACACCCAATGTCTCCCTGCATACTTTAGTGAGGCCATCTTACAGCCAGCACCTTTTTTCCAACGAACTAAGATTCCAAATCACAAGTTTTCCTTTTTGCAGCTTGATGCAATCCACTGGCATGTTGTTCTAAAATGTGATATAAATCGATGACTGATATTTTAATGTCATCTGATATTTTTACGCCAACATTTTGACGCGCATCTCAATGCCTTCGGTTCTTTCAGACTCCAGCCTCTTGGTTGAGGCTTCCGGCCTCCGATCTCCATGCCTACAGTTTGAACCACGGCGCTCATTCTTATACGACACGTCTTTTATAATCTACTGCGATTTTATTCCCGGCGTGATTGACCCCCTTTTCGGACACCGGGAATGTTTCGTCGCGTTTAGTGCACAACCGAGGCTGTGGAAATGTAAGCATTGCTTTTCGGACGTTTACTATGTCTAGACTTGCCCGTATTTTCTTCCCCCTCTAGCTAGACATTGAACATACGGTGGACGTTGTGACCATCGGATCAGGTCGGTGTGTAAGGAAAACAAAGGAAAACAAATAATTTATTATTATCAAATAAACCCCTCCCGGTGAACGCCCACTCTTCTTTGGATTTGCCACCTGGGAATCGGATTTTCACTACTATTGATGAAAACAAAGGCACATTGTAAAAAGAAGAGCCGAATGCCGATGTTTCGCGGTTATTTATGTTCGTCTTCGTTTGCATCCTTCAAAGTAGACAGGCATAACCGACTTACGGATGGAAGCGAATATGCGAATCCCAGGTTCTTGTTGCAAAGAAGATGAAGATCCGATCTCTGGGACAGTGGGTTTATTAGTCTGAGCTTTCGGTCTCGTACAGGAGCGCGCGCTCCGTTCCCGCGGCCAAGGGGCGAGACCCAATTTACAGCCAAGGGTGCACGCAGTCACGCCACCGTGAGACGGCGTGGGACGCAACTTATCGAGAATACCACCCGCTGCACTCATATCTCCCCCCCCCCCCCTTCATGGCGTGACTACAAAAACCGCTCATTTGATGTTGCCTTCTCACAGTCTCTGACGATGGCCTCCTGTACGATACCGAAAGCTCAGACTAATAAACCCACTGTCCCAGAGATCGGATCTTCATCTTCTTTATAACCGACTTAATTTGAATACTCTTTCGGAGCACAGTGTTAGATGAGATTTAGACTCGACTCGACCACCGAGTGATAATAAAGTTTGATGAACTTCGGGGTTTCTCGCGGACTGGCACCATGTCACTCGCCATTGGCGTCGGAGAAGTTAGTCATGACCACAGTCATATAAAATACTGCTAGTCGTGGTGCCGGTGGGGCTTCAGATATTCAGTTTGTTTGCTGAAAACCCGCAGTTGTGACGTCAGTAGTTCAAATTCTGATTTTATACTCATTACGATCGAGTGAAGTGAGAACATTCAGGCGTTTTAATTATCTACAGTGTGATAAAACAGGCCTTATTCTTTGTTGACATGGCTATAAGGCGGGAGTCGTTAATCTTATTGCATCTTAGGGCTCCAGTCTAGGACGACTGTTGACTTTCGCGTGCCGTTGAGCAGACACGATTGAAAAGATGAGGGTTAAAGCATTCCCTTGGATCGATTAGATTGGTAGGCTGCATGCTGGTAACATGACCCAAAAGCAGGTCGGTGTGGTTTGAGCTTCAAGGCACACACAGCGGTTAAAAATTCGACGCCAATTTTTTGGCCTCTCCTATACACACATTTTGCGTATAATTCAGCTGGTCCAATTATGCTTTTGAAGGTGGGCGCTTCCAAGTAGGTTAGGTCATCACTGGGCGCATTAAATATGACTAGAATACATGGTACGATTTCCATGCTGTGCCTCGAATTACGAACGCTCTCATTTCAATAGTGACCGGTTCGGGGTCATAGGAAACGTGTCTGATGAGGAAGCGATAGATTGGGGTTCTTCCCGATAACATTCAATCAGATTTTGGAACATCCCTTGTCTGCATCACTCAGCATTCCAACCGGCTAGGATTTGCTGCAGAACAACGCCCCTAGCTGGCAGTGATCTGCCGTACAAAGTAATCAGTTTTCAGATGTGTATGAGGTGGTGCCCGATCGTAAGCAAATCTGAAGGCAGGATGCAGTAAAGCGTATGCTCTTAGGTTGCTTTGAGTTCGGTTGGGTTTTGAATTTCTACTGGCTACATCTTCCAACCAATTGCAATCGGTGACTAAACTTTCCAATCCAAAGTGAGAAGAGACAGCGAATATCTTGGTGAAGTCTAAAGCGATGCGGATCGCATAAAGATGACTTTATAAAACTAACAGGCTGGTGATGTATGCAACAAGGACTATGGTTGCAGTAGGGGGTGTTCTCTGCATATTCGCCTAGGAATTCTATTTCGAGGACTATTGCCGAAGGGAGAAGCAATTTTTTCATTAATTACCGCATTAACTCCACCCGAGTGCAGTTGGCAAGGCACATCGGCGAAATTTCTTTCGTGATAGAGACTGCTTGCTGAATTTTCCTTCAGTTCTTCTTTCATTGTTAATGATTTTTAAATCCGTAGAACAGGGTCAACTAAGTACTTCTTTTTTATACTGCTTAGCACTCGGCAAATCGGTATCGCACATTTTGGTTTCGGCAAAGCAAGGACGAAATCTCATCGGACTCGACTGCCAAACAAACGTTCTCTTTCAGAGCAACGATTACGGCACAAACTGGCAACCAGTTAGCAAAAGCTTCTACGAAATCATAGTCAAGCAGAGCCCGGAGTTTTTGACGTGGCCCAAACCGACTGAAATCCACAGAGCGGAAATTAAGCCCGGCTTCTCACCGACCGAATATGGAAAACAGTGCAATCGGTGGTCTGCGGGACCCTGGAAAAGTACTTATATTTATACTTTTAGCCAAAAACCAGGAGCCTTTTTGATTTTTACTGAATGTTTAAACCTCTAGTTGACTAATTGCAACCATCCAGCGAATTCTGATGGCTATTTGGCCACTTATAACAATTCCGAATAAAATTCCGCCAGTGTTCAACATTCGGATTAAGGAGTCAGGGTGAAAGCCTCAAGTATGACGTTTTGAAAATGAGCTGCAAAGACTTTCGACAAACGTTAATTTTTACAGAATTCAAGGGTAGTATGGAACAAAAAATGGGTAATGCGCGAGACTGATCTCCCCCGTACGCATTAGTGATGGCCTCGCCCCAAATTCCAGGGGCGTTCGGGTCAGGGTTAGCGTTAGTATTCTGTTTAGAAGGGTTAGGATTAGGGTTAGGGTCAAGACTAGGGTTAGTTTTATGGGGATTAGTATTTAGGCAAGAAGGTCAGGATTACGGTTATAGTTAGGCCACGGAATAGGAACCCCTGTTGGGAGTCCGTATCGCCGTGCTTGACCAAAAAGAGCCTGCCAGTCTTGCTGTTTGTTGATACATATTCATACAGGAACCTCGGTTTGTTAACGCTACTGGTAAATAAAGTAACTCAGCCTCCCTTCTTCAGTGCATGCCAAAATTCCCAAAAAACGGTATCTTATTTTAGAATTCTAGATCTGAGCACTTATTCAAGAATTAATTGATCTGAGCTGATGTGATCTGGATCGGATCTGATCTAATTCGTAATAGGTTATAAGGGCATCCACCGTGCCTGACTGAACGGTGCAAAGATTGAGGTTTTCAGTAGTAACGATGGAGGCCTGTTTGACTTTATATTTACAATGGAATATAAACGGTTACGCTTGCCTTTTGGCACGCAAATATCGACTTCTTAATATAACAGGCGGACTCCCCTAAATCCCAGGAGGTAGGGGTTGGGTTAGGAGTGTTATGGTCAGTGTGGGGTTTGTGTGGAGTTAGTTTCAAAGTTAAGGCGCAGAATAGAAGTCCCTGGAATTTGGCCCGGAACCCCCTGTAGTACTGGGAAGGGTCATATTCCCGTGTTTGATTACATGGAAAGTATTAGTCCGGTAACGTTTCTATAAGAAAAATCAAAGGAACACCTTGCTTTAATCAGTCACTTCAAGTGCAATTCGGAGATGGAAATATTGCGTCGATTCTTCCAAATAGACTTTTAAAACTTATGACCAGATATAACTCAGTCATTTATGTGTCTGACCTATCGTTACGCAGATTTTTTGAGGATGTTTAGCGCAAACGCATGCAAAGAACCGTCTTCTGACATTACTTGCCTATTATTTTTCATTTACTCAGGGATCCGCATGGGCAAGTTCTACATACAGCAATCTTTTCGGCATTTCTAACCAACGAAACGGCACTCCAAATAGTTGTTTTCGATTTTTACTTAATGGGAGGTCATTCATTACAAGTATGGTGTTTTGGTGGATCAGTTAGACTGATTCCATTTAAATACAGTAAGTGTACTAGCTCATGAAATGTTAAAAGAAGTTCAGAAATTCGTTTTTGTTTCGAAAAAATTAATCACATAGTGTTGTAAAAGTAATCATCGTGAAGCATAATTCTATAATAAGTCAGTTACCTCAGGATGTCGGCTTTCGAACGAACTTCTTTCCCGCTGCATGTAAAAACCACACTCTTCAAAAAATGACTACGTAATAGGGTATATCCTTCTCATTGACTTTCGATGCCCTTGAAAATTCAATTATATTTCATGGAAAACACGCAAAAAAATTTTCATTCTCCTACTTGTTTGGTGCCAAACTACGTCTTCTTTCAATTTTATGCTAGAATAAAGGGAATAATTCAGTTTTGAAAAAGTTTCTATTGTGAGATTTTTTAATTCCGTGAAATGACCGCTCACAAAACATCTTGTGTCCGCATTTGCTAAAGTGACTTCTAAAGTTTACAATATGGCTCAAATCCACTGTTACACTTTATGGATTGTATATAGTCTCTTCCTAATACAGTAGAGAAATGTCCGGTTTTCCGTACGCGGAAAATAATCAACTTGTAGTTTGGGAGCCCTGAATATAAATGTAACGGTGGGTCGTGTCCAAAATTATCCGGGAATTGGAAAAGCTTTTGAAAACTGAATTGTACCCTTTATTTGAGTATAAAATTGGAAAAAGACGTAATTTCCTACCAAAAAAGAATGTAATTGGACTTTTAAGGTCTTCGAAAATCAAGGAAAAACTTCATGCTACATAGTAGTCACTCCTTACAGAGATTGATTCTTTACATGCGGCCGGAAAGAGGCTCGTTCGAAAGCCGGTACTCCGAGGTAACAGGATTATTATAAAATTATGCAGCTATTTGAATAATATTTTTTTAACAAGTACGCATTTCAGAACTTTGATTAACATTCAAATAGTTAGCACACCTACTATACATTATGTGGGTTAGCTTACATACTTTAGTGCTTTCATTTTTTTTCAAACCCTACTTTATTATGTACATCTTGAAGTTAAACAGGAATAGTCACCAAAATATTTGGTTTTTCCGGCTTACAGACGCTGCATTGAACAAAGTTTCATTTCAAGTATTTGAAGTGTGATCCTTATGTAATTTCAAGATTTTTGTGTGCCAGACTCCTTTTGGAGTTTTGTCCCCATCCACGAAAATCAAGTTCAGACAGAGAATATTGGTTGTCTTGGACTGGACCTTTTCCCAATTGTTTTGGATGCTTCGGTGAAATGAACTATGTTAGCGGGGAAAGATTAGCAAGGTTATCTCCAGCAATTTCTTACTAACCACGCCTTTTTGCGAGATTGGAGCTGCCAACGTAGTGTATTCTCGTTAAAGGAAATTTTGAAATGATAATCAGGATAAAGTGTGGATCGGGCACAAATACTCTCGTGTGCTCATAAGTTTCTTAAAGTTCCTAATGTAACAGGCCAGTAGTTTCAAAGCTATTCCGGTTTTCTGTGAATATCAACAAATATCCCATCACGGCCTGGTAAGGGCGCTGCAACATTTTGAGGAAGCCCACGCGCAAAGATGTTAGTGTTTTTACAAAGAGGTCAAAAGCAACCACCTTCTTTTTTCTGTTTAGTGGAAAAAACAACAACTTTTTCCCAATAGGCTGGAGTGATGTGTAATTTCAGAAATTATTATCCCCGCCTGGAATCTTCGTGGAAGACGGCGAGGCATACCAAGGACACCACTCCGACGGAATCTTTTTTCACCAATCTGATTTTATTTTCCTCGCTAATCAACCTTGCGACACCACACGAACTAAGTTCCTTTTGGCCAAAAACGCAGTTAAATACTTAGACTTCTACTTCCTTAGTTTCGGCAAATACAGCATTCTCCACGACTGGCCATATTTGATATCACTTACAGGCTGAAATGTTACGGTTTCTTTTACTTGACTGCTAACGCGATTGTGCTTGTAAATGGAATTTGTTCTCACAAACAATGCAAATTTAAGCTTGTCAGTATTATGTAAACATACGTGTGAAAATTGCAGTGTTTAATACATTCGAAAATTAGACCAGGCCGACATTTTTCTTGCTTCTATTTATGAAATCCTCACTGCCTCGTCTACCAACAATGTTTTAGGTATTTTTTCTCTTTCTTTTTAGTTTGCTACAACGGAATATTCTACGAGGACGCCATGGTACTTAAGTGGACTAACGCTTGAACTGTCAAAACGAGTTGATTGTACTATTGTGGTCTCTTAAGTCGCAGAAGTTCACATTTCAATAAAAGGGAAGTATTACGTGAATTTTTTCTTATTTGGAATGCAGTGCACTGAAACTGTCGCAAAATTCAATTTCTGCTGAGTAGTAAAGATTAAATTCTCTAACAGTGACTCTTGAGCGGACTCCCAGAAAGACAATTCACCTAGGTAAGAAGCACTGTGGCGATAGAAAGAGAGAGTGAGGGGGAGAGAGAGAGAACGAGAGGATAAGAGAGTGAGAGAGCAAACTCCGAAAAGTCAGGGATATTACGTCCAAGTCTTTCATTTGTACGAATCGATTGGACTTCCGTACCCGCGACAGTCAAGACGGTAGTAGTCTAAACGGTTGTTTCGTGGACTGGCACCACAAAACTCTGTCACGGTCTACACCAGTACCGTTGGTAGACTACTCTTACGTGAACATGATCTTTCAGATAACAACCAACCAATTACGTGGCATAGAACAGTCGTAAGGGCGGAACCGACAAAGAACACCGGCTCTGGTAATCCACCGTCATCTGTTTTGTTCTAAACTCCATTAACAAGCACTGGGCTGCGTAATAAAGACCTGCGATAAATAAAGTCAGCAAAGAGCCGGCATAAACTGCACAACTTTTTCCGATTTTCAGTTTAGGAGCTGTGGCCACAGATAGTGCTTTGGCGTATTATCACTTGGCAAAGTTTCGCACGGATGGCCTCCTGGTTATTTATGCAAAGTGTGTATTTTGAAGGATGGAGGATTTACTGACATCAAAAATTCCGCAACAATACCATCTTGCATGTTTGCAGCTGCTGAACAGTACCTGCTGACCGGTTGCCTTTTCTTTTGGTCCTCTTTATGAGGCAACGTTTTTCATGAGCCTATCTTTAGAAAAGACTACAGATCTCTATGTAACAAATGCTGTGGCATGCAGCATATTGCCATCACTATCAGAACCTCCGCAATCTTCCTCCCCAGTCACTTTCGCCTGAAAATTTGCAAGTAGAAAAACACGGATTCGTGAAGAAGATGAACAAACGATCTCTGGAATAAGAGGTGTATTAGTCTGAGCTTTCGGTCTCGTACAGGAGGCCATCGTCAGAGACTGTGCGAATGCGAAACAAACAGACCCCTAAACATTGACCACTTACTGCAACTCTTTGCTTCCTGCCAAAAAACCTTTTTAACCTTCAACGGCAGAACATACGAGAAGATCGAAGGAAAACCGATGGGTTCGCCAATATCCAGCCTGGTTGCGGAACTAGTTTTGCAGATGGAAAAGTCGCCTTCGACCACTATTAACCTGCATTTTGGCGCCGGTACGTGGACGACACGTTTGTTATAATTTTAGGGAGCAGGTTGGCCGACTTTCAAAACCTGCTTAACGGCATCTTTCCGGACATTCAGTTCACAAGGGAAGAAAAGCATGCCGAACAGCTGCCTTTCCTTGACGTTCTCGTCACACGCACACCCAACGGTGGACTCAACACCACGGTGTACAGAAAGGCGACTAACACGACTCAAATTCTCAACTACCATAGTAACCACCCCATGGCGCATAAACGCAGCTGTGTTAGGACACTATTCCAAAGGGTAAAAACGCACTGCAGTGAGCCAGAGGGACGAGTACGAGAACTACGGCATCTTCGGAACCAACTGGCAAGAAATGGATACCCGAACAGCTTCGTCAGCCGCTGCCTCCGCACGCACCCAAGGCGAACAAACGGAGGAGAGCCGCCAACACTGGCATTCTCTACCATATATAAAGAACGTGTCCGAAGCGATGGAACGTATCGCTAGAGAGTTCGGCGTGGGTATCGCTTACCGTCCGACAGCGACCATGCACAACGAAATCATGCGAGTGAAGGACCGACTAGACGTGGAAGAATCACCGGGTGTCGTTTATCAGATCCCATGTCGGGACTGCCCTCGCCACTACACAGGACAGACCGGACGACGACTTAACTCGCGAATAACGTAGCATAAACTGGCGGTCCGGAGAGGCGACCCTTTGTCTCAGCTCGCCACTCACACCCTGGGGTAAGGCCATGAATTCAACTTCGCGAGCACGCGGATAGTAGCGCGGGCCAGCAATAAGACAGGGCGAGAACTGTTGGAGGCCTGAGCGTCTGACACCAACTCTATCGCCAGTATGGTATAACCGACAAAGACAAGGAAAACTGGAATGGCCATTTCTGGCTTATTAGCCGTCGTCAGCCAGTCATACCCAACCCCGAAGTGTGGAACACCGAGGCTCGAACTCGCAGCCTCTTAGTTAGAAGTCCACGATCTACCAGGCACCACCACCAACTCTATCAACAGGCACGCTGACATACCCCCTTCTATCATGGGCGCCGTTCCCGTGGTCAAGAGGCGAGACCCAATTTCCAGCCAAGAGTGCACGCAGTCACGCCGCCGTGAGACGTCGTGGGACTCAGCGTTGTCGCGAACATCACCCCTCCACTCCTATCCCCCTTCTTTGTTTGATTAAAAAACCGCTCATTTGATGCCGAATTCTCACAGACCCTGACGATGGCCTCCTGTACGAGACCGAAGGCTCAGACTAACACACCTACTGTTCCAGAGATCGTTTGTTCATCTTCTTTACGACTGGAACCCGGGATTCGCATATTCGCTTCTGTCCACGAATTCTGGAGTTTTTCTTGGAGAAAAGGCATGCCAGCGCAGCCACTATCGTTAGCAACTCAATGTTATGTGTTTTACAGGTTTATCCTATCTGATTTTAAAATTTGTCCAAGCCAACTGCTTAGGGAAAATATCGAATTCGGCGTGACTGCCAATAAGCTCGGTTTCTTGCAAGCTATCTCACGTGTCTTCGAAACTACGTCCGCTTCCTACGCCCGCCCAGCAATCCTTTAGTCTTGCTTCCCCAAAACGCGCTGGCACAACATCCACGCTTTGCTGTGCGCCCCATAGATCTCAACCGCACTGAGGGGCGTGACGTTGCTGGCGAGCTCATCCTCAGAAATATAAAGTGCGTAGTCTCAGACAGACCCAAGGGTAGCCGATATGGGCACAAGAACAAATTCTACCAAAGGTCAACTTCCCCTCAGTAGTTTTAGACAGTGGACTCAGTGTCAGTTCTGATCAGCCTTACTCTTACCCCGTCATATTTAAAAAACAAGAAGAAGGTTCAAAGCATCGAATGAAAATTACATTCACGAGCTTGCAGATACGCATCACCAAGTACGCACTTTATGTACTGGCAGCAGACAGCAAGTTGTACTTCATACACGCGTATGCACTTAGCGCAGCAAACATTGCGTATTTTGCCTCCTCGCACTCCGTGGATGGCCATGTCACAGCAGTCATGTTCATGGGTAAATTTCAACTAACGAGACCATCAGATTTGCTTAATAATTAGAAAATGAGAAGACATTCCTACGTAAACAGGACATTTTATTCTCTCTCTAGAGGTTCTGTATGAAGCAGATCATACGGCGAAGGAACGATCTGACTGCTAGGCTAGTACTGTGCCTCAGTGTGAGTCGAATGACAGAAAGGACTGAGACAAACAGGAACACGATTGCTTATCTTCGTTTGTGGCTGGCAACTCTTAACTGCCTATGCCTACCTGGGGAAACATGCAAGGAAGTCGAGTCACGCTAGCTCATTTTTGCAAAACATCCACCATAGAGTAGGATCGAACGCGGTTGCGCATGCGTCAGCTCCTGAAGACTCGAGCTTAACCATTGAGCATGACTTTACTGGGAAATATAGCCAGCCACTATACTGCTAAGCACACTCCCTTGCAGTGCGTTTCAGTTATCCTGACAGTTCACGGCCTTGTTTCATCAGGCGATTGCTGTGCTGGCTGAGGACGGTTCGAGCGCCCTGGCCGACTGTCCTCACTGTGCGCCCCCAAAGCAGGGTGAGATCAGGGACGTGAGTTGAGCGTACATTTGTTTCTAGTGATAGTAGACCCGCGCAATATCTACCTCACTCTCTCCTCCCCTTCCCCCACGTGGATCCGGTGCTAAGACAGAAGCAAGAAGATCGGTGGCGGGAGAAAGAGTAGGTGGTTGGCACGGTGACACCCCGCACCCAGACCTTTCACCACAACCCTTGGTCCATTACGTACACCGACTAGGATTTCACACCAGGAAAGAAAGGGGAGCGTCTCGAAGTACACTGAGAGAGGGTGCCATAGAGGCCAGATTAAGAAAGAGCTATTGCTGCTAGACCCTTAGCACACTATTCGGTCATTCCACACAAATACACACACACGACAGTTCGACCATCGGTTTCGATGATGTCTACCGGGTGCCCCACCGCTGCAGTTGCAACGGTGGGAGCAGGGACGGTGACTTACGCAGGGGTTTATATTGCCAGTAGACTTGCGTAGCATCTACCTACACTCTCTCCTCCTCCCCCGCCTGAGCCCGGTGTCAAGAACAAGTCAAAAAGACCGGAGACGGGGGAGGCCGCAGGTGGATGGCTCGGACGGATCCTCGCCTTGGCGCTCCACTCCGCACCCCCTGGTCCACACACAAATGACCAGGATTTTGACCACAAAACAATGGGGTGATGGCAGTGGTCCAGTTGAGCGACGAATGCCGACAACAGGGTCCGCCAGCGCACCCCGCAAATGTTGGCATTAGTTATTGCGCACAGATAACGCCTGCCAGAGTCCGATGTGGCTCCCGTGTTGGTCCAGCGCATCTAACACGTGGCCCGTTTGGAGGACACACACACAAGGCTCACTGCAAGGCCCGAGCTATTCGGCCAGTCTTCCATGAAACGGCTTTTAGCGCACTGTGATAGATTAAAGTGCTGCCGGTTGTTTATGGTGAAGAATATGCGCCTAGACCATCGGCCTCACACTCTCTCTCTTGTCCCACTTCCAATCACCAGTTCACTGTCTGAGCTGGTCAGGTGTTCGATTCCGGAAGGGAGCGCAGTGGCTAGCAGAGATAGAGAGACCGTGTACACGCACGACCTGCCCCTACCCCAAACTCATGCACTAGGATTAAAAAACGGAGGAAGCGGTTCGGACCCCACATGTGTAAGAGGATGTCACTAAGAAGAGGAAGCCATGGAAGGCTGTCTGACTCTCAGTGCGCCAGTCGGACACCCAACTCACAAACGCACAACCGGGCTGACTACGTGATCTGAGTTGAAATGTCAGTTGGCAAGCCCCCAGTCCACGGTCTTTAGCGTACTGTGTTAGTCTTCAGCGCGTCATACTGGATTATCGTGAGGAATTATGTGCTGAGACTGTCGAACTTGCTCGTTCTAGCCTTTCCCTTGCACCAGCCAAGTGTGCGAACAGTTAGATACCTGATGCCTAGATTGAGTGAGGTATCTGGCAACAGCTCGTCTGCGCATGCCACACACACGCGATTTTCCTCCATATGCAAACGCCAGAATTGTGCCCACTAGGGTGCAGAACGGTCGGGTCTCACTTGCAGCAGAAGAGGCACATGGAGAACGAAACCGGAAGGCGCACTTCCGAATTACTTGAAAGCTGTCAATGAGGTGGGATGTTGGAGGTGTGTATGCGTGGTGCATGTGTTGCTGGGGAATTGTGTGGTCATACGGCGGTGATTTACCGAAGGCTTTCATGAATGCACATGCGATCGATTAAGCCTATGCGATGGCCGACCGTGCGAAGGCATGACGAGCAACTGAGGCGAACGGGTCTAATGTGTGTTGTCCCTCCAGACGCTGGTTCTCCTGTCTTCGCGTGATGAATCCACAAGCGAGCGATCAGGCCGAGGTGAATGTGTGATTGCAATGATGACAGGTTAGGACCGGACCCACATCGGTGGATGTGTGGGTGACAATGGCGTGGGTGGTGGTTGGTCGGACGTCGAGAAAATTTTTTACTAGTAGTCGGAGTGAGAGTTGTGGTGGTGGTAGCTGTCGTCGCCGCCGCCGCGGAATTTTTGGCAGGAATGATCGAGATGACGGTGATTGAAGGCAGCGGGGCAGGAAGATGCTGAGCATCGCCGCTGAGATCGTTCCTTATGGTGGACCCCGTGTTGGTGGGAACAGGGCCGGCCGGAGAGAGACAGCATTTGGTTTGGTGACTGAAAACGCCTTCTCGTACACTTTATTCATATTTTACCGCTTATTCACCCGGTTAGAAATGAGCATTATGAACGGTCACTTTTCTTCCGCCTTCCTGTGGAAATGTTTGCCATCACAAATGATCTTGTTAAGTGGATCGAAGAAACTGTGCGGAATAAACATCCTGAGTGTAGCAAATGTCTCATCAAAGCAGAAACGCAGCACTAGGCTTAGCAGTAGTTTCAGGCAAAATGTAAAATATTTACAAGACATCCGATAACAGATCAGACCGTCAAAAAGAAGCCGTTGGAATTGTTCTTAATAGAATAACGTTGACTTTAGGTAGCTGGTAATATAATTCACGTATACAGAACTTGAAAACTTTTCGATGAAATACTGCACTAGTCGACAGTTTTAAGAACTTGGACCTTTGTCTTCAGTCCTGGTGCATGTTCTTCTTTCTTTGCAAATGAGGGAAGTCAGAAGAAAAACCGAAAATCATAGAAGCAGTCTGAAAGGCTTTACCAGGACTTCAATAGAGAAGTCATGTGGACAGTCATTCAAAAGGTGTGGGACTGAAGGGTGAATAATTGGCTTATCTGTACTGGACGACAGGGATGTAAACCTAGCCCTACAGGTCGACGAGTGGACTTGGCTAAGGAGTGTGCATGATTTTCATCCCAACCGCTTTCACTTGCAGTGAAATACACCTATGTTTCTGACGTAAACTCAGAAGGACCAGGTTCAACATAACATCTTCTTTACGTTACTGTGCTTGTGGGCACCGTAAGTCCACGTACTTGAGATATTAACTGAATCGCAAAAATCCTGCAAGATATTTGACGTCTAAAAATATTTCCTTTTCATAAATATTTGTTCCGAGGTGCCCCTGCATCTAGTACGAGAGGAAGGAAGTTAAATGCAATGCCAAATGGAAGGACACTACGG